ATTATTCATAATTTGATCTTTTAATTTGGCGATCGCTATATTTACATTATATCTATTTTCTTTTTTTATATTGATCCACTATCTTATCGGTAATAATAATAATAATAATAATAATAATAATAATAGTGATAATAATAATAATAATAATAGTGATAATAATAATAATGATAATAGTAATTACAGCAATTGATGTTTATTCTTCTGTGCTGGTCCTTTTCGTCGTATACGCAACATTTATTAGACTTATGGATTAATATTGATGCATTTTCCCACGTAAAATGTAGACTTTCAATTCAGAACTATAAATTTATATTCTTGTTTTCACTTTGACAAAATTTATAGTTTGTAATCGATAGCAAGTAATTAAAATGGACAAATTAAGGTTTCAATTTATTAATTACTATTTTTGAGAAATTAAAGTTGCAATAATACTTTAATAGCGCTGAAATTATGTAGACTTGTTCTAGCATTTATTTACTTTCAATTCTATAAATTCCCACCAAATTTTGCAAGTTAAACAATGATATGTGTTAATAATTTATCCATTTTAAACACAAATATTTTGAATGTGTATTTTAAATGAAAGCTGAAGAATAGTAAATAGATGTGATAATTTGATTACTTTTACTTTTTTTGCTTCTACGCTTTTCTCTGCTTTACTTCGCTAGCAATGTTTACTTAATAATAGTTTCATTAAGGCCTGGCTGCAAAATCTAATTTGCGATTTTTGAAAAGATTTTTTATTTAAAACTGTTTTGAGGTCGCAGTCAATAAGGGATTGGTGTGTTGACAAAATAAAACAATTGACTTAGATAAAATTGTCGCAATGGTTAATTTATATATACTAAAACAATAAATTCAATCTTCAAAAACATTTTGCGTTCTTACTTTTAATTCAAATTTTGAGTATTTCAGATTTTAGTATGAGGCGTTCTTCTCACTCAGTGGAAAAAAACCAGAGCAAAAATTAAAATATGTAATAGATTTTTATATTAATAAAGCCAAAAAAGATGTCATATTACCATATTATCAATTTTGTTGTTATATTACGTGATGAGTTCAAATGTCAACATTAAATATTTCAATTAACTGTTTACAAATATTTTTTTAGTTTTTTCAGTTATGTGAGCAGTAAAGCAAAATTCAAAATATCACATTTTTAAGTTTTTAATTTATGAATTTGAATTTTTAAATTATTACGCTTGAGCAAAAGTAATGATTTAAGTATTTCAATTACTGTTTCAGATGTGAAAGATATTATGTCCCTCAAAATCCTTCATGTTTTGTTGATTATTTTTCAAGCCACAGTATGTGAATTGGAAACTAAAGTAAGTTAGTCTATCTCTTTCATTTTTAATCATTTAATTATTGCAAATATTTGGTCTATTTTTGCAAATAATTAACAGCTGTGTATTTGATAGACAACTTGACTCAGTTTACTAAATATGTCAATTTATAGAAGATTATTGAGTTATTGGAAAGTGGCAATACAATAGAAAATTATGATACTGTAAAAGCAAGAATTGGTTCATTTATTGATACGAAAGAGATAAAAATTCATAATAACATTGAACTCGGGAAGGAATTGAAAGTTTGCTTTTTTATTTCAATTTCAAATTTTAAATATCAGTTTATTTATTCTTTTTTTACAAAAGAATAACGAGTAGAAATGGAAAAAAATATAATTACAATAAATTAAACATTTAGTATTTCTGGTTTTTTGAAGTACATTTTCAGGTGTTAAATGATGAATATCCACAAATCACTTATTTATACCAAATTGGAAAATCAATCAGAGGTACATTTCTAACAGTACTTGCAATCGGAAAGTTTGCAAGGCAGAATACTCCCGGAATTCCAGAATTTAAATATATAGCAAATATTCATGGCAATGAGGTCGTCATAAATTGTTTTCTTAAAAATTTATTGTAAAGAAGTGATTATTAAGCTTCAATTATTTGCTTTTCTAACTTTGCACTGAAACTTTCGGAAAACAAAAAGTACTGCGTAATTTAATTTCAGATATCAGGTAGAGAATTACTGTTATGTTTAGCCCATGTTTTACTTGAAAACTATGGTAAAAACGAGCTGATAACATCACTAGTGAATAAAACCAGAATTCATCTTTTACCAACCATGAATCCTGATGGATTTGAAGATGCTACTCCTGGAATTCATGGATGGATTCAGGTTATGATTGGATGTTTTTATTGTACTTGATAAATTTTTGTATTATATTTTTTTTGTGAAGATCTATTATAAAGTGAAATTAGATTTTGTTTAGTCTCATTTTTTAGCAAAATTATCAGAAAATGTGATGTACCTCACGAAGAGAATACAGTAAAGTTGACATATTATTTTTCACTTATCAATCTTTTTCTGTAAATTCTTGAAATTTGTGGTCACAAAAATTACAGATTTAAATAAGATGTTCAATTATCAGTGTTCTGTAAACTTAGGGTCGAACAAATGCAGCTGGAATTGATTTGAATCGTAACTTTCCTCAGCGACTAGGTCCAAATTCAGTGCGGAATATGCAGCCAGAGACTGAAGCTATCATTCGTTGGACAAAGTATGAACTGAAAAAGTTGTCTATGCTAATTAAATCTGCGCATAATTAAGTTCAATCTTTTCATAAAAGCTGTGCATTAAGTTTTTTAGAAGGAATTTTTTGTTAGAAGGAATATATATATTAGGGAAGTAATCATTAAGAATGAAAATATAACTGATTGGGCTGAAAATTATATTTGGTTTATAAGTTTGAATTTTAGAGCAATTCCTTTTGTGTTATCAGCAAACTTGCATGATGGTTCAACAGTAGTGAATTTTCCTTATGACGATGGACGAATTGAAGGTGTTGAGGCAAAAACCGGTGACCATGAGCTCTTTGTTCAACTTGCTTATTCATATGCTCGAGCGCATAAGTTTATGTGGAAAAAAGTTAGATTTGTTAAAAGTAATAAAAATAATTAAAGCAAATTTTTAACTAAGTCAAGTTGTAGTACTATGAAGTGATAGTATTTTAAAAATTAGTACTAAAATGGCTAAATTTTTATATAACTCTAAATTTTAATAACTCTAAATCAGTCTCATTTTCTGAAGATTTTTCAGGGTCCAAGATGTATAGGTCGTTTTGAGGATGACGAACTTGACGAAGGAATTACAAATGGAAATAAATGGTATAGTGTTTCAGGTCAGCTCAGAATTCGTTTTCATTTTTTAACTCTTTTCTTAGGTTAAGTAAAAATTTATAAAATCTAATTAGTACTTGTAAAATCGATAAAACTGGTAATTAACTTCTCATAATATTAATAACATAAGTAAGTATTAGTTAACTGTATAATCATGGTAGTAAATGCTCTCCTACCCTTATTGCAACTCAGTAATTTGAGTAATAACAATCCATAGGAACAATAATAATGATAATAATAAATAATAATAATAATATGGTGATAACAATGATAAAAGTAATAATAAGCTCAATACAGGAGGAATGCAAGACTGGAATTACGTGTTCGCAGACTGCTTCGAATTGACAATTGAAATGAGCTGTGAAAAATATCCAAACAGTAAAGAGTTGAAGCAATTATGGGATGAACATAAATTCGCTTTAATTTCATTTATTGAAAAGGTAATTTTAATTAGAAATTACAAATTGTTAAACAGTGAAGCAAAATGGTATATGCCAAGCGCAAATTGAATACACAGTGATGCATTCAATAACCTGAAACTATATTTTGCACTGAAGAATAATAAGTATAAATAAGACGTGAAAAATAATTTTCTAAATGATTCAAAAATGCTTATTCTATAGTAAAATACAGTTTATTACTCGCATTTTATTACTGCGAAAATGAGCTTCAAGCTTTTTTTGTTGAGTCATCTGTAATTCTAACAAACTATTGGAGTTAACAAAAATTGCTTATTTTAAATTTGTTGAATTTTATGAGTTAGTTACTGAAACGTCAAAGTTGACAAACATTGCAGTATCTGCAAAAAAAGTATCTGCATAAAAATCAAGTATCTGCATTATCACTGAGCTATTTTACAGATCCACAAGTCAATTTCCGGTTTTGTATTAGATGGATCAAGCGGTATAGGAATTCCCAATGTGTTAATTTTTATAGACAAAAATAGTAAAGTTATATCAAGTAATGCTCATGGTGATTTCTGGCGTATAGTAATTCCTGGCACTTACAACGTTACATTCCAACATAGTCTCTACGAATCAGTTGCTAAAACTGTTCATATCACAAGCGAAGTGCCTTATAAGGTTTTCAATGTCACACTACGGAGAAAATCGAGATTCTGGAATTTTGATTACGACAAACGATGAATTTTCCTTTTTATTATTTTTGTCATTATTCTGTTCTACTAGCTCTGTTTATCAATTATTGCAACATTTCTGATGTTATTGCAGGGTTGAGAATAAAATAAAGTTTTTTCTGTTGTTTACGGGATTGTGTGAATCAGAAAACTCATTTAGTTCAGATTTCCTCAATTTTGTCACAATATTTTAAGTTTTAAATAAGTAATAAGTAGACAAACCAGAAAGTAAACTTTTTCATCAAAGATGTAAATTGCGTAAGAATATTTTGAGAGTTATAACTTTGAAATGCAAAGTAAATCGAGCATTCCTATTCATTTGCTTGACTTATAGTTGAATTCAGATCTGAAAACTCCAAGCAACTAACTAACTATGATGCACATTAGACTTTTCCGAACTTTGACCTCTAAAAATCCCTCACAAAATAGTGCAAAAAATTTTCGTCCACTTTCTAGACACTTCAGCTATTTTCACGCTACATTTAAGCACTTATTCAAGTGTTTGATGTATCTGTTACATTTTGACCTCGAAAGCTCACCTAAAGTCTCATGTCTCGAAATTCGTATGCCAAAGTATTTGCACGTAACTGATATCAGCATGATGCTTATGTGTTGTTGTACAAGCGGTATGTATATTTAATATTTTATGTGATTCCATTTCTTATACAAGAGACATAGTGATTCTTATACATGGAATCTTACTTACGCATTTAGAAGTACCTGCACAAAAATCTTGTATGTATCATTGTGAGTCACTATGCGCATGAATCATTGTAAAAATTCTAGGCAAGGAGTTGTGATTTACATTAATATTATGAAGCTGTGCGGAAATTCACAGACAATCAGAAACTGAATTTACTTGAGATTCTGTTTCATCTTCTGTGATTGCTTCAGTAATTTCGGATGAGTTACAATTGTTGTCAATTAACAATGAAATGTAACATTTATACGGTACACTCTTTGGAAAACATTAAGCAAACCTGTAACAAAATGAAGGAGTAAAGGTAATGGAAAGGATTCTCGTGAGTTTTTGTCCGCGCATAGATCAAATTTTAAAAGATAGAGCTTGGGACGTTGCAAAAAATTGTGTTTTTTATAATTTCGCCCCAAAAAATAACACTTATAATTTTTATTAAGTTTACAAAAATATTGTCCTTCCAATTTATTTTGCAATTTATACTTGCATAATATTTATCAAATTGATTATCGCTGCAAATTTTTTCACCTTATTGGCACATGCAATTTTCTCATTACAAGGACTGATTCACCGCGGATTACAACAGCTCAGTGGTTCGAAAGAATGCAAGCAATCCACGAATAATTGATTCAATCAAACTGATTTTTAAATATTCCTTTGTGATAAAAGAACGAAAGAATAAAATAAACAGAGTTTTGCCG